TTTCCTAAAGGTAATCATTTCAAATCTTCACTTTAAAGACAATGCTAAGAAGTTTGGTCGCACTGTCTCTGTTTGTAGGATATTAGAAGTAGTAAATCAGAAATAAGATCTCCAGAGGCTGTACACTCACAATACCATCATAGTTGCCAGTGATAAGGGACAGGTGCACACCCCACCGCCACCACCAAGAACAAGCTCAAGAGTAGAAAAGGCCCAGCAGGCCCAAAGCACGGGACAAACAGCCCCAGGCCTCCCTCAGCACCCTCCGCATCAGAGGACGACCGCTGTTGGAAGACAGCATCCCTGGGAGGTGAACAAGGCTTCTATCACCATCAGTGAGCTCTGTTTCACAGGGAAGGCACAGGCCACATTTGCAAAGCAGTTTCCACCCCTGATGATTAAAATTTAAAAAGTAGAGGGAAGCTTCAATACCTGAAAATTTTACTCACAGTAAACACCTCAGCCCCTCACCATGACAATTAACAATAAAAAATAACAAGACAGAGCTACACATGCTAGAGAGGCTAGCATTGGGGGCATGAAGACAACAAACCCCAAAGAAAACAGACGTGGACTGCACAGGCATGGTGCCGCGTGACCCTGCCCAGCCCAACACTATGCACAGCGACGGTCCTGCCGGCCCTCGCAAGCACCTCTGCCACTTGAACCCCAAGTCCAGAAGCCATGTCCAAGCCTGCAGCCACCTGACCCTTCCCAAACCCACATGGTACTGGAATTGGCTCTTCCTCACTTCTAGCCACGAGTGGCTGGTAGTGATTTTAGTACTTGGTCAGGTGAGCTGCCTCCATATCAATGTTCCAGGTAAACCTTAGACCCCAGAGCCATCCAGAACATGCAGCTCTGCATCACTCTTCCACTGTTTTCAACCATTCTCCCCAGCACCATTAAAGATGGCACATACAGGGGCCAGTGCTGTGGCACAAGGGATCAAGCCACCGCCTGCCACGCGGGCATAACATTTGGCACCAGTTAGAGTCCGGCTGCTCCACTTCTAATCCAGCTCCCTGGGAAAGCAGCAGAAGATGGTCCAAGTGCTTGGGCCCCAGCACTCATGTGGGAGACCTGGAAGAAGCTCCTGGTTTCAGATCAGCCCAGCTCTGTTGTGGCCATTAGGGGAGTGAACCAGCAGATGGAAGACCTTTCTCTCTGTCTCTCCTTCTGTCTGTCTGTAACTTTGCCTCTCAAATAAATAAATAAATCTTTAAAAAATAAAGATGACATGTATATTGTCTGGTATCATCATCAAAAAGCAGACAAATTTTCAGCTTTAGTTTTCTGTGTTTGAATGAAATATAATTTCATTGATATTATAATATCTTCCTATTTTTTAAAAGATTTATTTATTTGAAAAGCAGAGCTACAGAGAGGCAGAGACAAAGAAAGAAAGAAATGTCTCCCATCCCATCCATTGGTTCACTCCCAAACGACCACAATAGCCAGAGCTAGGATGATCCAAAGCCAAGAGCCTGGAGCTTATTCCAAGTCTCCCACATGGGTGCGAGGGTCCAAGCACTTGGACCATCTTCTGCTGCTTTCCAGGCACATCAGCAGGGAGCTGGATCAGAAGTGGAACAGCCAGGACTCAAACTGGTATCCCTATGGAATACCGGTGCTGCAGGCAGTGGCTTTACCCATTAAGCCACAGTGCCAGCCGCAACATCTTCCTCTGAAAAGTGAATTAAGAAACTCCAACTCAAAAAACATTTTGAGGTGCCGGCACTGTGGCACAGAAGATTAAAGCCATAGCCTGCAGCACCGGCATCCCCCAGGGGCACCAATTGGAGTCCTGGTTGCTTCACTTCTGATCCAGCTCTCTGCTATGGCCTAGGAAATCAGTGGAAGATGGCCCAAGTCCTTGGGCCCCTGCACCCACGTGGGAGACCTGGAATAAGCTCCTGGCTCTGGATCAGCTCAGCTCTGGCCATTGCAGTCATTTGGGGGGTTAACTAGTGGATAGAAGACCTCTCTCTCCCTCTCTCTCTCTGGCTCTACCTCTCTGTAATTCTTTCAAATAAATAAAATAAATCTTTTTTTTCTTTTTTTTTAAATTTTTTAATTTATTTTGACAGGCAGAGTGGACAGTGACAGAGAGACAGAGAGAAAGGTCTTCCTTTGCCGTTGGTTCACCCTCTAATGGCCGCCGCGGCCGGTGTGCTGCGGCCGGTGCACTGCGCTGATCCGATGGCAGGAGCCAGGTGCTTCTCCTGGTCTCCCATGGGGTGCAGGGCCCAAGCACTAGGGCCATCCTCCACTGCACTCCCGGGCCACAGCAGAGAGCTGGCCTGGAAGAGGGGCAACCGGGACAGAATCCGGCGCCCCGACCGGGACTAGAACCCAGAGTGCCGGCCCCACAAGGCGGAGGATTAGCCTAGTGAGCTGCGGCGCCGGCCCAAATAAATCTTTTTTTTTTTTTTT